AACCCCTAAACCCCAAACTCCTAAATCCCAAACCCATTAGGGTTTCGGCAGGCTGTACCCCAAATGGCAAGAAACCTGTCTCCTGCACTCTAACAGTGGATGTTGGGGGATCCAACGTGGTTGGCGCGCGTGTCGAACGATCGCCCGCGGGCAAGGGGGCAGCCGTGAGTTTTGGTCCCTGCTTGGAGGTTCAGGGGTAGTTATAAGTGGGGTTATAAGCCCCCTAATATGGGTTATAACTATAGTTACCCTACTTATAACCACACTTACAACTACCCATGAACCTCCAAGTGTCCCATGGCTGCCGACTGAGCACCAAGGAGCTGCTACGCTTTCAGGGCTTGCCAACTACCGTGAACTGCTGTGGGCTCGTTGGGAACAGCTTTGCCGGCAGGGTGTAGGAGAAAGTCCTCCTCCCTGCCTTGCACTCGTTCTATGGCCATGAGTTGAGGACATGACTGGTCGACGCTCGTTAGCTGTGCCCATGTCGCTCCCGGCGAGCACGACTTCCGTCTGGGCGCCGAAGGACTGCTCTGGAGCACCGAGCTTCACAGTTCCCTGCCTATGGGCACCCACGGCCACCGTGAGCGAGACCTTGATGGCTCACTGCTTCGCATTGGAATTTCTGGGACATCGTTTCACATTGTCGTGTCTCTGTCAAACCTAGATTCCCAGCTGAAGGACTGACATGTCAACAAAACCGTTCTTGGCCCTACATTCTACATGTCTTGTGACCCGAAACAGCTGCTTAAACCATGCTGCGAGGACAGTGTGGCCGTAAACGAGAGAGGCCCTGGCATCCTAAACCCTGAACCCTAAGCCCAAAGCGTCTCGAACCCCTACTTGGAGGTTCATGGGTAGTTATAAGTGGGGATATAAGTCCCTTAATATGGGTTATAACTAAGTTACCCTACTTATAACCCCACGTATAGCTACCCATAAACCTCCAAGTAAGCCCCAAGCTGAAACAAGGGGAGCTGAGCTAAACCAAAAAGTGCCCTCAACCCTCAGAAACGACGACCTCGCCTTCGACGTCAGAGAGCTTCGCGCCGAGTTGGCTTCGGCGCAGCGTTGGGGCACCCCAGAGGTTTTAGGTTTTAGGGTGGAGGGTTTTTAGCGTTTAGGGCTTAGGGGTTTAAAGAAGTTTTAGGGTTTAGGACCAGGGGTTTTGAGTTTAAGGTTGAGGGGTTTAGGGTTTAGGTGTCAAGGAGTTTAGAGCGGTCCTGTCGCATTTGGATTCAGAAAGGGTTTCGCAATGGACTCTGCCGTCGGGCGAGAATATAGGATTGAGAAATGTGTATCTGTGCATGTATGTTTGTATGTATGCAAGCATGCATGCATGTATGTATGGGTATGTATAGACATATTTTCTTGTTTGCTCAATTGAAAGACATAATGCTCTGAATGACTCAAGAACGGCTCAAAGCTTAGGATTTTGAGCTTAGGATGGAGGATTTCGAACTTCGGGTGTTGGGGCGGGGGGGGGGGCTTTGGGTACAGTTTGGGGGCTTGGGGTTTGAGGGCCTATAAACCCTGATAGCCCAACACCGAAACCCTAAACCCTAGACCCTAAACCCTAAACCCTAAACTGGTCCAATAAACCCGAAACCCGAAACCCTCAGGGTGCAGGATTCGGGCTTTGGGGCGTAGGGCTGAGAGACTTCTCTGCTTCCTACACAGCTTTGGGGGAGACCCCAGTCTTCGCCGCGGCTTCAGGGCTTCCGGTTTAGGCTTTGAGGTTTAGGGTTTAGGGCATCTACCCATAGGCCCCATAGTAGTTCCTTTTGGGGGTTCCCTTTACAGGGTCCTAAATACACAATTGGTTTAAGGAAAAAACTATAATGGAGACTATAGGCAGGGTTTAGGGTTTAGGGCATCTAAGACTACAATTAGGGCCTCCATTGATGCAGTAGTACAGTAGTGAAGCGGTAGTCGTCGTGGTCGTAGCAATGGCAGCAGCAGGAGTGACTAAGCACGAGGGGCTTGAACACCGCAATCTAAACCCCAAACCCTAAACCCTAAACCCTAAACCCCTAAACCCTAAAGGCCCTAAACCCTAAACCCAACCTAAAGTTTGCGTGGCAAGGCATGGTGGCCGAGGAGTCAGCCTCCCTTCGGGTGTCACAGCAGGAGGCTGGGTTTTCTGGTGCAGAGTGCTTGGTTTAGGATTTAGGGTTTAGGGTTTAGGGTGTAGGGTGTGGGGGGGTCACCCCTAAACTCCAAACCCTATCAACCCTAAACCCCCAAACCCCTAAACCCTAAACCCTAAACCCCAAACCCTATAAACCCGAAACCCCCAAACCCCTAAACCCTAAACCCTAAACCCTAAA